GACCAGCCCAGCCCAGCCCAGCCCAGCCCGGCCCGGCCCGCCCCCCGCTAGCCAGCCAGCCAGCCAGCCAGCCATCCACCTGACCGGCAAGCCGTCTGTCTCCTGTTCTCGCCTTTTTTCTCCCTTTCCGCCTCGTCTGCACCGTTTGTGCCTCAAGCACCAATTCCCGTCTCCCGTTCGCGGCAGTCGGCTCTGCTGACGCCATTGTTGCCCCGCTTCACACTCGGGCCATGCTCTTCCGAGGCTTTTCTGCATCTCGGCCCTTCTCCCCCTCTCTCTCCTGCTCTCTCTCTTTCTCTTTCTCTCTCTCTTCCTCTTCCCCTCTGTCTCGCTGACTCTCTTTCGTCTCCGTCGCCAGGGCCCAAGCTGGCCGGCTCAACGGACGCAGGCTGTCGTGCGTTAGCCCGACATACGAGCCGGCAGAAGAGCTGACCTGACCATCGAACCAGGCCGGGCGAGCATTCATGTCGCAGGCCCAGCTTTTGCCCGCCGCCTTCAGCACCGGCCACCTCAACCGCGCGACCGCCTCGTTGCCGAGGCCACTTCAGAGCGTCTTCGGCCCCGCCGCCAGGCCCGAGGAGGACTCAATGGCGCCGTCCATGCCCTCACTCACCGGCGGCCTCATCACCATGCCCGCCTCCATCGCCCTCCCCTCCCGATCGCTGCCCGCCACCAGTCTCTTCGCCTCGCGTCGCTACCCCTCGCCCAGCCGGCCCTCCGTCTCGGTCGCCCTATCCTCCGGTCTCGCCTCGCCGCCCCACCATCCCAATAGACCCGTCGGCGGGCCCCGGTTGGTGCCGACGGCGGCGAGTCCCGCCAGAGCGCTCTTCTTCTCTCAGTCGTCAGCCGGCGAGCGCCATGTCGACGAGTCGTCCTGCTTGCGTCGCGCCGCCGGGCTGGCCCGACAACGAGACGAACGTCGCCCGACAAGGCAACCCGACGGCCTGGCCGTCGGTCCGTCTGTCTCGCCTGGCCTTGGCCTCTGCACCAGACCGCGACCCGGCCATGGCAACGGGCTTGCTCGAATGTCGACTTCGTCCTTGACGGCGGCCGGACGCAGCAGCGGTCTGACACCACAAACCGGCAAACTGCGCATCTCCGCGTCGGCCAGCACGTCTCCGAATACTGGCTCCTCGCGCCGTCTCCTACAGTCCCTTCACGCCGGCTCGGCCTCCTCCGGCCTCGGCCACTACTCCGGCCCCGCCTGCACCGCCTGCACCGCCTCCGCCCCCAATTCCAGCTCTACCTCCGCCGGCAACACGACTACAACAATGACGGCCACCACGACAACGAGCACCACCTCCGCTCTTCGACACCCGACACGCTCCAACTCGTCTTGTCTCTCGCCGGCCCGTTCAGCTCTCCTGCACCCTGGCAACACCGCCAGCCACACCAACACGACAGTCGGGCACCACCGCTCGTCCGGCCCGACCGATGCACCGGGCACCAACGGTCTGATGGCCGACTTCCTCGAGTGCGCCAGATGCCCCGCCTCGCGGAGAGCCTCCCTCGACCACTGGGTCGACCATTTGGGCGAATACCATCCCGTTCCAGCATCGTGGCCCAGTGCTCGTGCCGACCACCTCAGCGCCCGGGAACGCGTCACACCGTACACTTCCGTGGTGGACTCGCACAAAAAGCGCAAGCCCAACACCGTTCCACGACCCTTGAACAGTTTCATGGTGAGTCTCGACGTCGCCTGGGCCGCACACACACACACACACGCCACGCGAATAGACACGTCTGCTCAGGGTGCTGTAGTTGCTCCCAAGAGCGTGATCATTTCGCCCATAACCCATCTGAATCATTAATGTCCTACCTCCTCTCCCATCGGCCCAGAGTTACTCGCTAATCCGTTGGGTACTCAGTGTTGCTCCATCCTCAAGCAATGTAATTGAAAAATTCACCCTCCACCAGAGTTGTTGACTGTTTGACGCTTGTCGATGATCGCTCCGCACAGATTGAAACTTCAATTGAGACTGACTTCTTGGATAAAGCATTTGGCTGTCAGCCTAACCAACGTCCCTTAGAATGTATCCTGTCCAACGTGTAGCTGGGCTAACACCTTTTCACACCTGCATCAAACTACAGAATGAATATATGAGAGCCAAGATGGTTTGTTTTTGGTATGATCGCAGTCTCCTTTCGATGCATAGAAGTGGGCTCATCTCGTTTTCGCAACTTGGTCGTGCTGTCAAGGCGACATTAGTGGTCGCACCATATCCGAATTCCCTTGCCATATAAATTATCATAATTCCCGGCGTCAGACTGTGGACTTGCCACATTCTCAGACGTTTCGCCGGCATCGTCAGTGAGTCAGCACCAAGCTACAACTCGTCAAAGATTCAAGTTAAGTCCATCTCTTGACCAGCCTTCTGCCAAACGATTATGTTATCATCTGTCCTGGCACATCTATCTACCCCTATCTTATCACACTCCCGCCATATCACACCTTACTATAAAATATACTGTGGCGTCTTCACACTTGATGGGCCAGGACAGAAAGAGGATGGATGGTTGGCCAGAAGATTGACTTCACTTGTTGCTTTGACAAGTTATATTTTAATGCTGACGATGTAGGCGAAACGTCTGAGAATGTACCAAGTCCACGATGCAACGCTGTGAATCATGATAACCATTATGGCGGTGGATTTGAGACAAGCTGCGTCCAACTAGGTCGCCCTGACAGCACGAACAAGTAGCGAACACGAAGTCAGCCCACTTCTACATAAACAAGTTTAGAGAACGCATTCCGACTCTTTTGGCCCAATTTTACTAGCCTTACTGCAAAATCAGTTCTTAGTTGACTCTGAGTTATTTTAAATAAGCTTGCTCCAACGACTCACGAAAAATTGGCCTGTGTTTGTCCGACCAGATCCACACTGAGCAGCGGGTTTTCTTCAACATTCCGGTTGCACAAATCAACCCCAATCCGTATCGATCTATTCTTTCCTTCAAACTATCACCCACTGAGCTTAAATCTACGGTCTGGCCATTAGGCGAGAATAGGTTGTAATTTAACGTCATACCACTCCATTCGATAAGCTATCATCGCCTTTATTGCGCTCTCCCAGCACACATTGAAAGACTTCACAGTTCACATAATCTTGCTCCAAGAAGTGGTTGGCTTCGTGTGTCCATGTAGAAAACTAGCTGATGATAAGCGGCAGAATTACTTCAATTTTTGGCCACACAGACGGCAGGTCTAGCTCTGAAAATGGCCACGTTGGGCAAGCTTGGCTAGGCCGGACCAGAGCGCACATTTTTCGCCGTGCGGATTTAATGCAACATAAATCGATGTTAAGTCTGGCTTAACTGGGTTTGCATAATCCACATCCTGACTCGTCAGTTATGGCACGCATCCATAATGGAACCAGCTCAACAGACAGTTCAGACGACCTCGCAGGTCCATGTCTTCGTCGGCCACTCGTTTTTTCGCTTCTCCTCCCGTCTGCATCTCCCCTTTTTGACACAACCGCTGCGTATCTTTATTGATGGATTTAATATGTATTAATACAATCTAAACGGCAAGGACTACCTTGATTCACCGCATCTGGAGCCCAAACAGTTGTGGCTGCTGATTTGTGCCCACCGTACTACGACCTCGATGGGTACGTGCTCATCTTTCGTCTGTTCCAGCGTGACAGACTCGCCAGAGCCTGAAATTATGCCTTGCTCAAAGGAGAACTGACTTGCTCAAAGTGAGAACTAGCGGAACAGATGGACCCTCCAAAACCAAACGCCTAGTGGATGATGATGATTATCCCAATAACTTGGACACCACGTCGCCTATGGAACTCAACAATACAGAACGAATCTAGGCAATTCAGCCGATACTATTTGCAACTGTATGATGGGAAGAGGGAGCCTAAAAAGGTAGAAGTACCACCGAACAGGAGGAGGCTTGATTATCCTTGATTCTGTTCAGCATTCGCGAGTATTACATGCGCACAGCAGATATGCAATTACATTATAGGATCAAAAACACGGGTGGAGGGATGCGCCTGTTCGGTCACAAGTGTGTCAAGGCTAACGCCCAACCTACCTCCTATTCGCTTGTAGTCTGCGTCATTCCACTTTTTATAAATGCATGCAGGCAAGGCACAAGATCGCATTTTGTTTGGTCCTGATCCCCTTTAGTTGCACAATGTCATTTCTGCCTCGTTTACCCTACTTGGTCGGAGCGACAGGAGGACCTTAGAGTACCGGGCTAGCTACAACTGGTCACTGAGGTTACCTACTACGATACCTGCGAGACGTATGGGAATGCCGGAAATCATCGTGAATACTATTACAGTGGACGCAGGAACAGGTGCTGCATGGTCTCTCTGTCACTCCGATCAAGCTGCGAAATCGACGTCGAACCAGCATTTTACGGCACCGGATAGCCAACCAAATCATGAGATGTCTTATTAAATTGATTTGGTTAGGCTGGATTGCTGGTGACCGCGTTTCTTGTCTTTTGCTGGGTAGATTGTTATAAAGCACTGCGGTTTCCTGTTCTGAAGATGGCTATTGGGGTGGGTCGGACGAAGGCTCAGCGCTAACTCTTCATTGTCGCTAAATCGTACGTTAATTTACGAATTCCTTCGATTCTCCCCATTAAATGATAAATAATTGGCGGATTTTACTCCAGATAGGAAATTGACTTTTTCACGAGCTATTCATGTGCGATCGTCCTGACTTGTCTCTGACTGAACTGATATGATCGCCTTTCTTCCTACTACAACGCACATGCACGCAGTAATACTACGTATTCAACGTGACCTAACTCGACTCGCGAATTATTATTAATCCTTCAATAAAGTTAAGCCCAACTACAAATGCAAAATTTGTCTCGTTTAGCTGCTTCACTTGCAGGCTGATTTTTTAGCAGAAAATTGAACTAATGTGCCACCCTCAACTTGTAACGCCACACATGCCTCGTATGCGTAATTTTTGCCGATGCTGCCCTATAGTCATCCTACAACCTCGGACACGCTTAGGAGCCCAGTGTTTAAACACACTTTTCCTCTTTTTCATTTGGCTGTGTTGACAAACGAAAACGAGGATTGTAGTTGTCATTTTCGCTTCGGCTTCTGTGTTGTTGCTGCCCTCATGCGTGTGCGAGTGCCTATCTGCGTGCGTCAGTGGACCCTTTAAATGTTGATTGTCAGAATTATGTGTTCTTGACACCTTACGCTCCCGGCAAGTTTTCAGTCGCCATCTCGGCTCGCGTATAATTCGACGATTGTGATGACCCTCTGCAGCGTAGATCCTGGTTTTTTTTAGAGCTTCGTCCAGTGTGGATACGAAAACGGCTTATTTGTGACTTACCTCCAGCCAATCAGGCGTCTGCATCAGAATCGAACTCATACCTGACTGACTGCAAGAAAGCAGTTCGTGTTATCGATTTATTGAACCATGCGCCAATCGACCGGTCCTCATCTGGGCCTCCCAGATGGCCGTTAGCCTTTGCCCTTCCTACTCCAGCCTATTCC